ACAAACATATTATATCGTGTGTCTCATATTTTTGTATTTTTTATTTATCGTTATTTGTTTAAAAAAAAAAAAAAAAAATCACCGTGAGGGAAATCATATTTCTTCGAATTTTGTAGAATTATTGTATTAATAAAATGTTTTTTTTTTAAAGCACACATAAATACACAAACGTTAACATATTGTATCGTGTGTTATATTATTGTATTTTTATTTGTTTATTTTTTTTTTATTTGCTTAAAATCATCTTTTGGAAATCATTTTTTTTTTTCGAATTTTGTGGATTTATTGTATTAATAAAATTTTATTTTACACACACACACACACACATAAATACACAAACATATATTGTATCGTGTCTCATATTTTTTGTATTTTTTATTTATTTATTGTTTTATTTACCTAAAATCACCATTTACACAAAACATTTCTTTTTTTTGTTGATCATATTTATTAAAGTATTAAAGTAATTCATTCATATTTTTATTTTATTATATTAAAAGATATTTTTTTAATGAACCAAAGAAAAATATCAAATATAGATTTATTTCTTAGAAATAATGAATGATTGTTAGAACGAATATTACAACAATAATATTATTATAATGTAATAATATCAGAAATTAAATATGTTATAATATCTTTTGAATAAATTTTCAGCTATACGAATAATTATTATTTGGCTTTTTGGTTGAACTTGTTACCGCAAGTTCTCCGTTAGAATTTAGAAAGTTTCTTCAAGCGTAAACATATATTTGATTAACCGTATAATTTGGATCATACCAATTTTCGATTAGGTTCATTTAATTTTACTATTTGATCATTCAATTTTTTTCTTCATCTATCCCTATATATATATGTATTTTTTAATTTATTTAAAAAAATTATTTTTTATTTCATTCTATCAATTGTACAGAACTTTCAAGAATATATACAAATTCATTGTTTATACAAAATTAATTAATAAATTACAAATTACCAACATTTTATTTCAAACTGATCAATGTACGAATATTTTTGATACTCACTGTATATTTATTTTTATAATTGAAAAATTCGAATGAAAATGCAATTGTCTATGAAATTATAACGGGTGTTCTGTTTAAATATAAAACAGAATTATTCTAATACGAATTGAAATACAATTTTACGATTATGTTGGAAACTCATCATTTTGATTTATCATCCATAAAACTGTTCACTAATTTTGATTGATCTGATCAGCTGTTTTATAATTGACAAATTCGAATGAAAATGCAATTGTCTATGAAATTATAACGGGTGTTCTGTTTAAATATGAAACAGAATTATTCTAATACGAATTGAAATACAATTTTACGATTATGTTGGAAACTCATCATTTTGATTGATCATCCATAAAACTGTTCACTAATTTTGATTTATCTGATCAGCTGTTTCATAATTGACAAATTCGAACGAAAATGCAATTGTCTATGAAATTATAACGGGTGTTCTGTTTAAATATGAAACAGAATTATTCTAATACGAATTGAAATACAATTTTACGATTATGTTGGAAACTCATCATTTTGATTTATCATCCATAAGACTGTTTACTAATTTTGATTTATCTGATCAGCTGTTCCATAATTGACAAATTCGAACGAAAATGCAATTTTCTATGAAATTATAACGGGTGTTCTGTTTAAATATAAAACAGAATTATTCTATTACGAATTGAAATACAATTTTACGATTATGTTGGAAACTCATCATTTTGATTGATCATCCATAAGACTGTTCACTAATTTTGAATGATCTGATCAGCTGTTTCTTTGTTTATCTTTAGGGGTACACGTGGTAGCACATCAACGAGAAGAAGAGGACACAGAAAAAGATTTTTATTGTATTGTTTATATGCCTGGGGTTTGGCATGTTTGATGACTGTCATAGTAATCGTCGTAGATCACACTCATATTTTACCGAATTATTTGACACCTGGAATTGGTTTAGGAAGCTGTTGGTTTAATCGTAAGATATAATATTAATAATAATAATAATAATATTTAATTTTTAACATTTATTTGTATTTATAATCATTCGATTAATTTATTGCATCTTTGTAGAAATATTTTTCATGAAAATTTATTTATTGTAGATGGAAAATATGTTTATGCTGAAATTGTATTTTTCATTGGACCAGTTACCCTACAATTGATCATCAACATACTATTTTTCGTAGTAACATCTATCAATTGCAACAAAGTTAAAGCTGAAATAGATAGGGTCATTGCAGATCCATCTGATGTTAGAAACAAACGATACCAAGCTGATCGAATCAGGTAAGTTGTTTTAATTTATTTTAAATACAGCTTAGTAACATTAATAGTTCAAAATATAATAATAGAAATATAATTTCATTAATTATAATTTAATTTAATTAATATTTTCTTCCACATATATTTAATATTAAAATACTTTTATAAATGATAATAATTTTTATATACTTATATAATATTATTTATTAATATATAAAAAGAAAATTATATATAAAATTAATCATATATAATTTATTTTATTATATTTAATATTATATTATTTTATATTATATTAATAATAATTATATATAATATATTAATTAATAATTAATTAATATATTAA